CCTTATTACTTACCCTCCTTTCTTTTTGTATCACAAGCCATCTTTTCCATTTTCACACATAAAGATAACTGGTGCCACTTGAAAGGCAGCCACACAGCTCCTGATGTTTTCATAATCTAAACCTATTTCATAATCTAAATCTCGAGCTTTGTTAGTGTCCCCTACTAAAAATACCTCAAGATAACATAAGAGATTTTAAGAAACCCAGTAGTGGGTCTCCATTATCAAGAGCAACTCAAAGTCAGACATCTATCAGGAAATTACAGCCAGGCCTGTACATTTTTAGACTGAGACTATTCTGATCTACGAGTATTAGATTTACTATTTTGGGCAACTTTGGCATATCTCAAATATAGAAGTGAAATATAACATAAAAAAAGCTTTTCTTTTTCGAGCTTTGAAGTTCTTAGGCTCTGCAGTGTAAAACCTGGCATACACTAAGTAGTAAACCTTTCCCTGATAGATGGTAACAGCTCCTCGGTGTCTCCAGCTCCCACCTGATGAGGGATTGTGCACTCAATCAACCCTAATGGCTCCACTAAGACAAACCATCCATGGTGTCTGACTCCACACACACCCAGCCAGGTGCCAAAGCCAATAAGCAAATACTTGGAGTAAACACTTCAGATTCCTCTCTGCAGACCCCAACGACCCACGGGATGAATATATATTTAGCTAAACATACAACCCATTACCACAAAAACCATATATTTCCTGTGTAAAATCTATAGCCACAGAATATTTCTCTGTCTTTTCAAGACATCCTGTACTAGAATCCCAGAATAGCTACAGACCAAGGAAAAAAAAAAAAAAGGAAATGTTGACCTATTTAATAGGGAATAAGCCAAGACATTGAAAACCACCACATGACCAACATTATCCATAGAAATCCTCATGTCTTATCTAGATACATCAAATGCACAACACGTTATGCAGAATCTTCAGGGGTGTCTAGGGAAGAAAATTTATTTCTGTGCTGCTTAATGAACCTGCACCAATTTTTTTTAAACAGTTTACAAGGGAACTGTTGGGATAAGGGATAAAGGGAAGAAAATCAGAATGGAGAACAGTCTTCATTGCTGTATATTGTCAACGGGTCTGCTCCAAAAATTAACAGATGAAAAAGTGAAATGTGACATCCCAGCTACCACTGCTTACTGAAAAAAAAAAGAAAAAAAAGAAAAAAGCTATTATTAAGTTATTATTATTTGAAAATAATATTCTGACTATGACTGTTTAGCATTAAGGAAAAGAAAGCTCAGAAGAAAATGGAAGCACAGTAAGAAACACCTGGAAACTACCTTGAGAACATTGCATTAGGCTCACTGCAATACAGCTAATCTTACATAACATCAAATTCATTAGCTGAGAAGAACCACCTTAGTAGCCTTCTCACCTCTCCACCTTTGCTCTCCATTGTTACCTGAATAAGAAAACCTTCAGAAAATCTGTAGTATAACCAGGATAAAGGATACACTCAACAGTATTGCTTGGTCCAGAGACACGAGTGGAATTAGCCATAATCATCACTGTACTGCACAAAATCATTACCTGATTTAGATTTTCTTTGCAAAATACTAAGAAATTAGTCCAATTAGATACTTGTTGACAATCACACACTCCTGAAGTTCTCCCTTTTCTCATGTGCATTCAGTGCATTCCCCAGAGCTGGAACCAATTATGTTCACAAGTACCAGTGCTTAGAAACCATTTCTGTAAACTAAGATATAAGCTAGTCCAAGTTCCTGACTGCAAAAGTAACCAGTTTACAGTTTCACACAAGAAACCTTTGTAAGGCACCTGTAAAGCCTGATTCACTGAGGTTTTTATGATGCCAAGTACTTATCACCTCTTTAAGAATTCAGTCAACAATAATATTCTTGAACATCTTTAACACACATTGACTTTCTATAACAGCAACTCTAAATTCTCCTGTTCAACAAAGTGAAAACTTGAGGATTTATTTCATGACACTGGAGACAAGACTTCAGCCTGCAAAGTGGCACAAATGTACACAGAAAATGGAATATATCAAGACTGAACAAGAAATGTAATTCTAAAGTTAACATTAAAATTGGCAGAAATTAGCTCAAGCTAAATACTATGATTATTCAGCCTTCCTCCCAGGCAGAAGTTTGGTCCCATCAACGTTAGTACATGACTCCAGGCAATGATCTGCCTTTGTGTAAAGTCAGTAGTGTTTGCCATGGCCACAAACAAAGTCCAGCAAGTCCACGCTCAGAAAAAAGAGGTTCATAAATCAAAAGGATTCTTTCTGTGTCTCTCATTATCTCAGAAGGCTTTGCAGGAGCCAGCATTCCATAGTACTCCTCCTGGTTTCTACTCCAAATTCTGGTGACTTTGCAAGTAAAAAGCCAAGGCCTTACATATGTATATAAGTATTTTATTGCTTGCTTGTGTGCCTCTCCCCTCAGTCGGGTCAGGTCTCTCAGGGCATGTTAGTACTTGTTATGTTATACAGACCATCATAAAATCAAGTGTTACACAGTACATTTTACTATTAAGTAGATTAAGACTATAATCTTGATCTGGAATCTCTTCTGACACTGCAAGTGAAAAAAAAAAATGTAACATGATTGCCTGGTTTTAAGAAATAGGTGGCTTCTTAGAGTAAAATAAGCTCAGAGTTTAAATGTTTTAGGCAAATTAGTGGGACAAAATTGTCTATACGCTTCCCCCCCCCCCCCCCGAGTTCTGTAGATGGCCTGAAAACACTTTTCTCAGAAAGGTCAAATATTTCTTTATAGAAACACAATAAACTGACCACAGAATACTAAAAATAATACTCCATTTTATAGTTAGTCTGTAAGTGTCAGATCACAGTATTCTGACATGCTATTACCTTTAATTGGAGACCAAATCTCTAGAAATCATTTAAAGAAACAAAGAAAAGGCTCCCAAGTACCTTTACAATCTTTTCAAGAGAACCTTCCAGTTCTAAAGGGATGTGAGGATAAAACATTGATCACAATTCCATCAAGGAAACCCTTATCATTTCCTCACAGCTCATGGCTGTCTAAGATATAACTCTGTACATCCCTCTCTCTCCTACCCACAGTTCTTTCAATGAAAAGCAGTGGTTTAAAATACAATGCAATTTTCTTCCTCTGCACTTAAAGCTCCCGAAGGTAGAATACTAGATTACACAGTCTGGAAGCTCCTTTTAGCCACTTAGAAACAGTTCACAAGTTGCATGAGGTAAAGTTACTCAGTTTCCCTGGTATGTTGAAGAAAAGCACTCTGGAGCTCTGTCACCAGCACCTCCCTGTCTCCTGTACAGTAAAACCACCTGTAATGTCATCCTCAAATCAGGCTGGGGGCTGTATTTTACCTTACTAAAAACTCCTGCACATCACACAAGGCATCCAGCTTGAGAACAAATGTTTGCCAATTCCTTCAGTGCAACATGGCTGAGAACCCAAACATGACACTGAGAAATTAAATATTTCAGGAGTAGAATGATATTAAAGTAACGGATAAGTTTCCAAATATTATTTTCAAATCCATGTTTACAGCTACAGCAATAAGCCTAAAATCACATTTTTATTTAGAAAGATGTTTCCTTGAAATCTCTTAAAACGTAGTGGAAATTTTGCTTCAAACAAACTTACACTCACTAACATTTCACAAAAGCATTTATTTTGGGTCACTTGCTGCTACCTTGTTTCAGTGTCTTTATTTTGGCCTTCTTTAATATGTTCCCTAGGAGTATTAGGCCAAGTTATGTATCCTTAACCAAGTAAAATGCAAATTAAGATAAAAACTTCAAAACTTGACCCCAAACATTTCCAAATAAGAACAGGCAATGTTAGAAAAGTTTCATCTAAGCCAAGAACAGCTTCTCCTGAAGTATGAATCTGAGATTTCTCCAATTTTTTCCACACCTCATGAGTGTCCCAGGTGATGAAAGTGAAACACGGAAAGTGTCAAGTTATTATGTTCTGAACAAGTTCAGTATTCGAGCAAGTCAGTTGCAAGTATTTAGATAAGAAAAACAAACATCCTGGCAAAATTAAACCTGTAAAGTCATCAACTCAGTCATCACCATCCAAAATAACATCAAGCTACAAAAAAAACTGGTAAGTTTTGAACACACACAGAAGTCAAAGACTCTTTTTTTGTTTTTAATAGGCAGGGCACAGCTAAGACAAAAAAGCACCTTCTTTTTTTTTTTTTTTTTTTAATATGGCACAAGCAAAATTGAACCCTGATGGGCACAGAGCCAGGGTAAAGCCCAGACTTGGGCTAAAGCCCCAGAGCTGAGTTAAGCCCCACGCCCGGGTTCTTAAAGCCCCACGCCCGGGTTCTTAAAGCCCCACGCCCGGGTTCTTAAAGCCCCACGCCCGGGTTCTTAAAGCCCCAGGCCCGGGTTCTTAAAGCCCCACACCCGGGTTCGGCCCCACACCCGGGTTCGGCCCCACACCC